TGTATTAAATCGTATCCACTTGACATTATTTGAGCTGTTTTGTGTTTTGTGTCTCAGGTGGCACTACCCCACTCGTTGCCCCTTCCTCGACGGGAGACCCTGCAGCAGAGCTCCAGCCTCAGCACCGTCTCTCCTGCGACTGTGGACCTAACACTAAAGGTGCACAGATCCCACGGCACGCTCCAGGAAACATCACGCACTCTGAGAGACTGTTCTCTCGGACGTGTCGATGAAACCTTAACAGCAGTTTCTCTGTGTCTCCTGTTCAGATGGAATCAGCTCGTAAAGCGTGGGAAAACTCCCCCAGCCTGGAGAAGAATTCTCCGGTCACCTCCTCTTCCTCCCCCATCACTTCCTGCGCATCCTCGTACTCTTCCTTCTCCTCGGCCTCCATGCCACAGATCCCCGTGGCTTCTGTTACCCCAAGCACCTCACTGTCGGGTACAACAATTTCCAGTTACATCTGCCGCCATATTGTCTGTTGACACTGTTTACTTCAACACTGCTGACATCACTGTATCCTTGTCTTTAATCTCCACACTGCAGGTTCTGGTACCTACACAACGTCATCCCTCAGCACCAAGACCACCACAGCCTCCGACCCCCCAAACATCTGTAAGGTGAAGCCTCAGCAGCTGCAAGGTGGGAGTCTGTCGTCCTCCAGCAGCAGCAGCAGCAGCAGCAGCTTCTCTCAGCTGGGCTGTGTGCCCCCCCTCCTGCCGCAGCAGCAGCAGACTCCACAGGTGTACGTCTCTCAGTCTGCAGCAGGTGAGTGGAACATGGCATTGACCTGTGATGTTATGTTATACATGTGATTTATTAAGTGGAAATTGTCTGTTCTTAAACATATTAATGCCTCATATTTAAACACCAACTTCCTTGTTTTGTTTAGTTTTTATTCCTCCACGCCAGTGACGGTCAGAGCAGCGGCCATTTTGTTTTCACCTTGACAGAACTTCTTTAAACTTGGCATAAACATTCACTTGGACTCAAGGATGAGCTGATTAGATTTTGGGGGTCAAAGGTCAAGGTCATGGTGACCTCAGAAAACACTTCTTAGCACACAAAAACAAGATGTAACCTGAAACTAGTCTGAGTGGTGGAGGGATACAACCAGGAGGAGGTGATTCTAGTCTAATCACTAATGTTTAATCCCTTGTATGTCCAGGTTCTGCAGCTCAGATTCCAGCTTTCTACATGGACACTAGCCACCTCTTCAGCACCCCCCACCCTCGCTTGGCTCCTCCCTCTCTGGCGCAGCAGCAAGGCTTCCAGCCCGGACTCTCGCAGGTAGGATTTTCTGTTTGAGAAACGCACTGCAGGAATGTTTTTAATGTTGCAGATAAAAACAAAAGGCCTGTCTGTTTGTCCACCTCGTAGCCGACGGCAGTGCAGCAGATTCCCATCCCTATTTACGCTCCACTGCAAGGTCAGCCTCAGCACCAACACACACACCAGCCCCAGCTAGGACTCAGCACTGGTCCTCCAGTCTCCCAGCCACAGGACCTGTTCAGCTCCTCACTGCAGCCGTACAGGTAACACAAGACGCCACAGGCGTCCAGTTCTCTTCGCCACAACACAAACACACGTGCCAGTACCTCCCTCACCGTCTGATCCCGCCGGTCTGCCCCCCCCTCAGGTCTCAGCAGGCGTTCATGCAGAGCAGCCTGTCGCAGCCCTCCATGATGCTGTCAGGACCGTCCCTGCACAGCTATCCTGGTGTGCAGGCCCCTGACATGGGCAAGCCTCAGTCCAGCCTGGCCTATCAGCAGCCCTCATCCACCCAGCACATTCCCATTCTGTTTGAGCCGCAGCTCAATCAGCCCTCGGGTATGGGAGGCTCCCAGCTCATCGACACACACCTGCTGCAGGTAACCCGACTGCTCAGAGTTCACTCTACCTTACAGCGCAGTCACATCTCGTCATGTCGATATCTGTATCTTCGGTCTGACACCTGTGTGTTTGCTTCAGGCTCGACAGGGTATGAATCAGCATTCAAACATGTACTCAGGACAGGTGCAACAACACGGCCAGAGCAGCTACTACAGCAACACTCAGTCACCCAGCTCAGCCATGCAGCAGGTAACTGACATGAAGCTCCAGACTTTAATGTTTACGAACCTCAGTCATCAAACATCTGTTCCAGTTCCAGTAAAAGAAGTTCTGGTGAATCAGTGAATTCATTATTTGTCAGTCTGTAACACCAGGTCTTCATCTCTCTCTGAAGGTCACGGTCCCTCTGCCCGGCTCCCAGTTGTCCCTGCCAAACTTTGGCTCGGGCGGAGGCCAGCCCCTCCTCGCGCTGCCCCCCACGCCTCCTCAGGCCCAGCCCCCCAGCATCAACCGACAGCCCCCAGTCTCCCAGCCGTACCGAGGCATCATGGGCCCCAACCACAACATGATGCAGCCGCCCACCAGCAAGGTGCTACAGAGTGTGACTGTGACTGAACTGTGTGTCTGAACTGTGTGGTTCTGATCCGTAACACTGAGCTGTTTGTTGATGGTCACAGATGGACATAGATCTGAAGCTGTTCGGCAGCGGGATGGACGTGAAGCCAGGAACCCCTCCTGTCAGCGCCAGGAGCACCACCCCCACCTCCAGCCCTTACAGGTACTACCTCAAACAACGTCCTCGTCCTCCGTCACACAGACAGACAGAGAGGCAGACAGATCACTCGTTTTCCTCACTCTGACCTGTCTGCCTGTCTGTCTCTCTCTCAGACAGCGATGTCCTGCGTTGGGGACAGTGAACTTGCATCATAGATGAATGTCTTCATCAGAAACAGTTGATGAGATTAAATGTGTGAGAGACTTTTATGTCGATAACAAACGGGAAATCTGATTTCTTAACTTCTCCAGTTGTGAGAGCAGAACCGATGATGTCAGAGCTCATCAACACGTCAGTCTTTAACATTTAGCCCCGGGTCTCTGAATGTCTCTCTCTGTCTCTGTCTCTCTCTGTGTCTGTCTCTCTCTCTGTCTGTCTCTCTCTCTGTCTCTCTCTCTCTGTCTCTCTCTCTCTCTCTGTGTCTCTCTCTCTTCTCTCATGTCCCTCTCATGTCATGTGTCGTTCTAGTCTGTGTCTTCTTCTTTCTCTCTGTCGCTGTTGGTGTCTCTCTCTCTCCTCTGCTGCCTGTGTCTCTCTCTTTTCGTGTTCCGCTGCCCCCCCCCCCCGAGCGGCGCAGTCTCCACCTCCCCCAGCAGCCAGTCCAGTAAGATGAACAGCATGCTCTACCAGAAGCAGTTTCAGCCCAGCTCAGCCGGCATGAGAATGACACAGCACTTTCCTGGCCAGTTCAACCCACAGGTACAACAACAATAATCCCTGTAATAACAACAAGTCTGTGTCTTGATTGTTTATACTGTAATGAAGTGGTTCTGCAGCTGCTCCATTTATTTCCTGTTTGTTCCTCTTCATCAGATTCTGTCTCAGCCCAACATCGTCTCTCCTCTGGTTCGACCTCCTCACACCAACTCGTTTGCTGGAGGTGTCCAGCGCTCTCCCATGGGCCCTCCAATGTCCCCCAACGTGGGTGGTGGTCTGATGCCTCATCCCCGACCCCAGCATCCACAGCACAGCCAGCACCCTCCTCGAGGGCCCTCGGGCCCCTCCATCGCACCCAGAGGCACACAGGCGGCTCTGAAAGCTGAACAGGACCTGAAGGTCTGCTGCCTGGTTCTTAGAGCTGTTTTGTTAATCTGATCGTGATCTTTCAGTGATGGGGGAGTTGACTCTTTGTGAATTTTCCCTCTACCCCCCCTCCAGGCAAAGCAGCGGGCTGAGGTGCTCCAGTCCACTCACAAGTTCTTCTCAGAGCAGCAGCAGCAGCAACTCAAGGCGCCGCAAGTCAGCAAAGCACCTCGGCTGGATCAGGGAGGGAAACCCCCCCTCGACACCTCGGCCCCAAACCACCAGCCCGGAGGTGACCGACCAGATTCTGACAAACCCCCCGTCTCCACGGCCAAGCCCATACGGACCGGCCCCATAAAACCACAGGCCATCAAACCAGAAGAGGGCAAGTAAAGAGCTGCAGACGACAGGAAGAGAGGGAGAGTCAACCCCATCACTCAGTCACCACTCATATCAGCCCTGGGGGACAATGTGGGGGAGGAGGATGAGTTGGTAGAGATGGTTACTGAGAGTAGGCGCTGTCCTGCATATATATAATCCTCTTCTTTCTTCCCCTGTCTTGTCCCGCTGTAGGAGGGGGCGTTTGATTCTTCCATCATATTTAGATGCCGATGAAACGGCTGCACAAGTTGTTCCATAGAAATCTACTGCGACGGTAGAAGAAGAGAGAGAATTTAAAATGAGATTTGCTGCTGAGTTTGCCATTTTTATAGCTCTTGATTTCTGCTCCTTTTTATCCCCACCCCCCACCCAACCCCCCCCAATTAGGATCCACACATTATAGGAGAAACCCGTTTCGTTAATGAAAGAATGAATCCGATTTGTTTTTGTAGTCAAACAATCTTCAGTGTCGTAGTGAAGCACTCTTTCTCCATCACTAATCCTCAGATCTGTGCACGTGCACATGCACACGCTCCCTGACGGTTTCATCCACGCTCACAAGACGTGACATCACAAACGTTGTTGTCATTTTGTTTTTGTTTTTACCAGAATGGAAATGTGAAAATTGCAGCATTTGATTGACTTTAATGATTGATTTATTGATTAGTCTGCCTGTGAGCCTTTGCTCCCGCCTTCTGCTCTCATCTCCTTGCCTGAGAATAACTGATGTGTTGGGGTGTGTGTGTGTGTGTTGAGTGTCTGTCTTTGGTATGAACAGGGGGCGCCTGTAGCTGGACTCTCCTGTATATTTAGCCAAAGGTTAATGCAGCGCAGAGATGATGTCACAGCCTTTTAGGATTGCTGTTGCCGTGGCAGCAGAGTTTTGAGTGAACTGAAAGGATTACATGGATGATGTATGATCACTACTTACAGCTGTTTAGGGGGCTACTGTCACACACCCTTTCACTGCTTTCACACCCACCCATCCTGTCACACAACACACACATACACACTTCACTGTAAAGCACCCAGACCTGCTGCTATTGACTGATTTCAGTGCCCTTAGCTAGTACATAGCAGGATAGGGCTATTTAGAGGAATAGACACGGTGAAGAGTTGATTGTTAAAACAGTAGAAAACTTTGTGTGTCTGTCGAACCCCCACAACGATGGGGGGGGGGCAAGAACAAGACAGAGAAGGAGGAAAAAGATGAAATGAGAAGCCTCAAGTTCTGAAGCGTTTGGGCAGAAGGACACTTATTGTTTTGTTGTCTTTACTGATGAGAGCAATCAGTGCTGTTTTCTGTCTCTGCCTCACCTCCGCTGGCTGTCCCACCCACAACGCTCTCATCTCGGGGTCGTGGTGACAAGGGTCCTTCAGAAATGTACAGTAGTATGCACCCTGAGGTGGGGAGAGTGTCCTCGTCACCTCCACCCCAGCCGGGGGAAGAGTCCTTGATTTGGAGGATGGATGAGGGAGGGTTGGTAATGACTTTTGTTTTTGTTTTTTTTTTCCTTTTTTGTTTTTTGTTGTACTTGTACAGGGGTTTCATCGCTGTATTAAAAGATGTACGGTCTTATTTACATTCTCTTGGTTTGGTTACAGAAACTAATAAAAATAATATACTGTTGACATGTTTTTCAGTGATGCAGTTTTTTATTTTGGTTTTTTTTTTTTTCTTCTTCTTCTTCATGAAGACATTTTCCTCAGAAGAGACACATTCACATCTCACCACCAGGGGTCACTACAACACCTCTGTTACCATCAGCATGTTCAGATACAAGTCAATTTCCCTTACAAACTTGCTGATGGCTAATTAGAGGCTGTTTACCTGTTAATGAAATAACTAATGTTTTGACTTTAACAAAGAAAAACAGCCCAATTTTAAAATTGTTTATTTATTTTAAAGCTCCTCCAGTGTAAAGGTCTGTGTCCATGTGTAGTGTGATTATAGATCAGCTCTAGCTTCTATATTAATACTGTGAAAGTATCAAAGCCTCAGTCCACAGAGAAATGCACACAGCCTGTATTCAGAAACTGAGCCTTAAAACCAGCCGTCAGGACTTCTGGAACTTTGTGATGTCACAACAAAGCAGTCACCAAGCCCCGCCCACCTGGACCCACCATCCAAACCTTGCAGGATTTGGTTTCTCTGAGTGTTTTAACTGAAGATCCTCTCCTCTCCTCTCCTCTCTCCTCTCTCTCATCTCCTCTCTCCTCTCTCCTCTCCTCTCTCCTCTCATCTCCTCTCCTCTCCTCTGCTCTCCTCCTCTCATCTCTCCTCTCCTCTCCTCTCTCCTCTCTCTCATCTCCTCTCTCCTCTCTCCTCTCATCTCTCCTCTCGTCTCCTCTCTCCTCTCCTCCTCTCTCCTCTCTCCTCTCTCCTCTCTCCTCTCTCCTCTCTCCTCTCTCCTCTCTCCTCTCTCCTCTCTCCTCTCTCCTCTCTCCTCTCTCCTCTCTCCTCTCTCCTCTCTCCTCTCTCCTCTCTCCTCTCTCCTCTCTCCTCTCTCCTCTCTCCTCTCTCCTCTCTCCTCTCTCCTCTCTCCTCTCTCCTCTCTCCTCTCTCCTCTCTCCTCTCTCCTCTCTCCTCTCTCCTCTCTCCTCTCTCCTCTCTCCTCTCTCCTCTCTCCTCTCTCCTCTCTCCTCTCTCCTCTCTCCTCTCCTCTCTCCTCCTCTCTTTCCTCTTTCCTCTGTCCTCTCTCTCCTCTCCTCTTTCCTCTCTCCTTTCTCCTCTCTCCTCCTCTCTTTCCTCTTTCCCCTCTCCTCTGTCCTCTCCTCTTTCCTCTCTCCTCTGTCCTCTCTCCTCTCCTCTCTCCTCCTCTCTTTCCTCTCTCTCCTCTCCTTTCTCCTCTCTCCTCTCTCCTCTTTCCTTTCCTCTTTCCTCTCTCCTCTTTCCTCTCTCCTCTGTCCTCTCTCTCCTCTCTCCTCTCTCCTCTCCTTTCTCCTCTCTCCTCTCCTCTCTCCTCTCTCCTCTCCTCTCTCCTCTTTCCTCTTTCCTCTCTCCTCTCTCTCCTCTCTCCTCTCTCCTCTCCTTTCTCCTCTCTCCTCCTCTCTTTCCTCTTTCCTCTCTCTCCTCTCCTTTCTCCTCTCTCCTCTCCTTTCTCCTCTGTCCTCTCTCTCCTCTTCTCCTCTCTCCAATCTCTCGTCTCCTCTCTCTCCTCTCTCTTCTCTCCTCCTCTCCTCTCCTCTCTCCTCCTCTCTTTCCTCTTTCCTCTCTCTCCTCTCTCTTCTCTCCTCCTCTCTCCTCTCTTTCCTCTCTCTCCTCTCTCCTCTCTCCTCTCCTTTCTCCTCTCTCCTCCTCTCTTTCCTCTCTCCTCTGTCCTCTCTCTCCTCTCCTTTCCTCTCTCCTCTCTCCTCCTCTCTTCTCTCCTCCTCTCCTCTCCTCTCTCTCCTCTCCTTTCTCCTCTCTCCTCTCCTCTCTCCTCTCTCCTCTCTCTCCTCTCTCTCCTCTCTCTCCTCTCTCTCCTCTCTCTCCTCTCTCTCCTCTCTCTCCTCTCTCTCCTCTCTCTCCTCTCTCTCCTCTCTCTCCTCTCTCTCCTCTCTCTCCTCTCTCTCCTCTCTCTCCTCTCTCTCCTCTCTCTCCTCTCTCCTCTCCCCCTCACCAAGCCCCGCCCACCTGGACCCACCATCCAAACCCTTATTTGGTTTCTCTGAGTGTTTTTACCTGAAATCTGGTTTTTGGTTCTTAAAACCACAAATATACAGAATCTCTTATGGATCAACACTTCAAATAAAACAGAAGAAGAAGAAAATATGGAGCTTTCTTCACTTGTCCTGAAAAGTTCATTCATCGTCAGAACCCAGTGACATGATCATTAGTTAAGTCTTTATAAAGTGTTTCCAGTGTTTGTCTGAGGGGAATAAAACCACAATAACCACATCAACCTGTAACTTAGAAGTTTATTTCATGATGTTTGTCACTACAGTGCACAGGTACATGCAACATTCAATACATGCTGAGTGAGAGCAGTTCACTAAGGAGATGTTGAGTGGTGGAACAGAGGAGTGTGTTGTAAACTTTAATGATCCCACGTAGCTGCTGATACTGAAATATGCTTCATCTTTTAGACCTCAGATAATAATATTGAATATGGCTTAACACAAAACAAGAAAATCATACATCTGAATTAAAGGCGGTACAAAAATAATTCCTCTACAAACACCTGTGGACCACGCCACAGTCACAGCACACCTGCAGGCGACGCTGTTCCTCCATCGTCTCATTTCACACTTTACTGACGGTGTTAGCGTCTAACTACTGCTACCACACACGTTTGAGTCTTTGAAGCGGGAACAGGCGAGCCAATGTCACTTTTCAACGCCACAGTGTCGGCCTCAGTCGGCCTGCTGGCGGCCCAGCCTGAGGTCATAGGACACTATGTGGAAGTTGTCCCAGGCGAACAGCTTCCTCTGGGCCAGGCTGTAGTCGATCATGCAGTTGTAGCGGTACTTGTTCTTGAAGGGGATGGCGACGGCCTTCCCCTGGCTGCTGGCAGTGTCGTACATGTGGTTGATGAAGGTGTTGGGCGCCGCGTAGCTGGACACGGTGTACAGCTTCCCGCAGATCATGAAGGAGTTGGCCACTGAGTTCTTCCTGATGTTGGTCTCCCAGCTCCTCTTCACCTCCAGAGTGTTTGGGTCCAGCTTCGAGATCACGATGGCTCCTTTTGCTTTACTGGTGGAGTAGACGGCCCACAGCCCCTGCTCGTCCACCGACAGGTCGATGTCCGTGTAGCCTCCCCAGGAGTAGGGATACTGGCCGTGGAAGCCGGCGTGGGGGAGTTCACGGCGGGCTGCGATGCTCTCAGACGCCAGGTCATAGCGGATGATGGTGCGGCTGCGACGTCTCTGATAGTAGAGACAGCCGCGGTACAGAGTGGCGCCCGTGCTCTCCATCAGCTCTGGCAGCAGCAGCACCTGTCCCAGGAACACACAGGAAACAGTGAGCAGCTGTTTGTCTCAATCCCATCAAAGATAATCACCTGTGTGACACCTGCCTTGGACGGAAAGCCTTTGGACAGCTGCTCCATGTCCTCGTATCCAAACATCTGTCTGACCTCCGTGCCAATGGTGTCGATGCGCCAGACCATGTCGGGTCCATAAGGAGAGACGGCCTCAGGGTCCTGCATCCAGACGCCATATTTACCTGCGATGTTGTCAGCTTTCCTGTGAGTAACGGGTTCAGCCACTGACAGCAGCTCCCCACAGCCTGTGGCAGGAGGGAGAGGAGGTCTGAGAGGGGGGGTCCACTGAGGGACAGCATTAACACAGCAGAAGACTGAGGTCAGTGTCTGAACCTGGGAACACACCTGAGGACTCATGATCTCACAGAACACCAACAAGACTAACTGCATTGTCTTTCAAGAGAAATCTAAATAATGTTGAACATGAATATTAACAAAGTCCTAAACTTCATATCTTCTCTGAGCTGAGGCGTCCTCCGCCACGTGAAGCCCTTCAAGCATTAAATCAGTTTCTATTTCAGCCTCATATAAATGACTGTGATATTACATGATGTCATCCTTCTCCTCGTTACCAGGAGAAACAGATTCATGTGTCAGATCACAGTCACAGGAAACGCTCTTCTGTCAGTTTGTTGAGATCTGTGCTCGTATTAAGTCTAATACTGTGGTGTGTTGGTTGTTGTCCACTGACCCTCCAGAGGTGAGACCTGGACTGAGGTGGAAAAGTCTAAATAACCTTCTCTGACCTCGTCTCCTCGAGCTGGATGGAAAAAGGATTCATCAGGACTGAGGAACAGAATCTGACTGACCTTGAACTAAACTTTATTTCTGATGCATGGACGATAAATCCTCCTTTAATCACAAAAACAAAAAGGAGTGAAATGTTGAAATAAGAAAACATGAAAGAAAAATACAAAAAGAGAAAGTTGAGCCATTAAAATAATAATTAAATAGAAATATTGAACTGAGAATAAATTATATTCCTACAAATTTATAGTTTCCTGTCATAGGAGCTTTTTACGTT